AGCATGCAAGGCAAGCGCTCTACTACTGAGCCACCTTCCCAGCCCCTAAATGTCAGCTTTCTGAGCATCTAGGATTACAGGCCTAAGCCACAGCAACCCACCAGAAGTCCATTTCTACATATGAACCTCAAAAAGAAAGGCCTTGTCACTTAGAAGTCAGAAGGCCACCAGATGGCACCACTGAACCTTATTTGGTAGAAACTGAATGGGGTCTAGTGGGATGAAATCTTAAAATCTTAAGATACAGGATTTCTCAGACTTGATACCACCAGCCAAAGAAATAATTTCTGAACATTGCCAGATGTTTGGCTGCAGCATGGATTTCAGATGTTATGCCAGTAACACCCCATGGCTGTGAGAACCAAATGTCTCCAGGTATGATCAAATTACCCCCCATTAAAACAAATGCTCTTAGGCTGGATGTATAGTTAAATGGTAGAGCTCTTGCTCTGCCTGATCAAGATCTAAGGCCAGACCAGCCACAGGGAAAATGTTAGTGAAAATTCCCTAGCATCTCAAACAAGAAGTGGAGAATGGTGGTGCATACCCGTAATCTCAGCTACTGAGAGGCACACATAGGAGGCTACCTGAACAAAAACTTGAGACCCTATCTGAAAAATAAAAGGGCAAGAATGTGGCCTGGTAGAGCACCTGTCTAGCAAGCACTATACCTCTTAAAATAATTGAAAATATAGTCTCTTAATTTCACAACCATGGAGGCAAATTTCATAAGACTATATAACTGCAAAATAACTGAACTAATATATAAATAGAAAAGCAGCCCTATTAACTAGGACAGTAATCACAGTAAGTAGCTTAATTCTTAAATTAAGTAAACACTTAGCAACCATTCTGAAAACAAACTGAATTATAAAAGCATCTTTCCATTAAGATAGGTCAAGAAGCACTAGTCAAAAAGTTGTATTAATGTAATGCTTACCCAGACGTTTTCTGGGGCTAAGAGGCAGAATTTTTGTGTTTATACAAGGAGAACAGGGAATAGCCCGTTCATTTGTCGGTTGTAGTTTCGTATTGCTAGAGTTTTTCGTTTTGTTCAATGTCCGAGATTGCTTTTTCTTTGGAAAACTGATTGTAGCTTGTGCCTGGGATCGGGTTTGAGGCATGATGTTAATACAGCTAGATGCAAAAAAAAAAAAAAAGTACAATAAACTTGATATGTAAAGGCCATGGGAAAAATAACAGGAAATTTGTTTATCAGGTCATCCTAAGTTGTTCTTAACCACTTGAGAGATGCAATAACTGATTTCTATAGTACTTCCATGACTTGGGACCCCTTTACCAGCAGCTTAGCCCACGACCGCCACGAGGAGTCTCCCAAGCCCTGAGGGCTTCCTTCCTTCCCGGCACCACTCAGGCTCCCCTGCACACAGCCCTCCACCCTGGAACACCTCCTTCCCACAGCTTCCAGGTCCTCCTTACCAATACTAGACCCACTTCCAGGGCGCACGGCCTTCGTCCCCGACCTCAGCCCTCCAACCACCCCCGCTCCACCACCTTCCTTTCGCCTCGGGCCTCGCCAGAACTTGCATTGCCGCGTCAGCCTCTTCCTAACCCGCTGGCTCCCAGACTCCACGCCTCCCCCAAGCAACCCGCTCCTTTTTACCCTGCAGGGCTGTGTCACCTCAATGCAGGCTTCTTCTCGAGTCACACACGAGTTCTGGGAACCCCAGACACAAGCTGCACAAGACCTACTCCAAACCAGCAGCAAGACAAGCAGCTCGCGCCAAATCTGCTCTGCCCGGCGTTCCCGTCTCGCGCCAAAGCCAAGCCACATTTCTGATTGGCTGTCGCCACGGCGCCGCGAGGCTTAGTCACCTCCCTTTCCCTCGAGTCCAAAGCAGCGGGAACGCCCACAGCCAATAAGACAGCCTCCAGGTCTCAGAGCCACCATGAGGCCACGCCCTCTAGCGGGGTGAGAGGTGGGGGGAAACCAGACTACCTACATCCGGGGCCTCCTCGGAGAGGCGCGCGGTTACGGCAGATGAGACCTTGTCATACCGCCATGCCTGACGGGAGATGTAGTAGCTTTCCACCCCTCCACGCAACCTACTTCCGCGTTCTTTCACCTCGGAGACTGGAGAGGCTTCTCACTGCCATGCGCACTTAACTTTCATTGTCCTGATGGGTTAGTACTTGTTTAGGTGAGGTTCTATGTGCTAGGCATGATGCCAGGCACCCTTTTCTTTTCTCAAATGCAAATGAATGCGTAGGTCTAGAGGTTGCAGCAGCCATGAAAGGCTTAGGCCCCTCATCTCCTGATACCTGAACTGTTGTTTGGTGAAGTGAAATCCATAAAAAATTCCACCTCATGTGCAAAAATAATGTCAGCCTTTTATTTTGTTCAAGGTAAAAATATTATGTTTTATGCACTTTACCATTAATCCACACATTGTAGGGAGTGAATTATGGTCCTTTAATTTAAAAATACTGTATAGACAAACACCAGGGTTTCAAAGCCAGGGAAGATAGTTATAGGAGAGGCAAGCTGAGCATTTAATGAAAAATATAAATTAGAGCAGTAATTTGTAGGCTACCCTCCAAGGCTAATAATCCTTCTAAGCTTCTGGTTCCTTTACAGGCTGACTGTAGGTAATGGTATTTATCTTTTATCACTCAGTATCAAAAAATAGAGCCATAAGGGACTGGGAAGGTGGCTCAGTGGTAGAGCGCTTGCCTTGCATGCTCAAGGCCCTGGGTTCGATTCCTCAGCACCACATAAGCAAAAAGAAAAAAGCCGGAAGTGGCGCTGTGGCTCAAGTGGTAGAGTGCTAGCCTTGAGCTGAAGAGCTGAGGGACAGCGCCCAGGCCCAGAGTTCAGTCCCCACTATGGGACCCCCCCCAAAAAAAAAGAAAAAGAAAAAAAGCCAGAAGTGGCACTGTGGCTCAAGTGGTAGAGCGCTAGCCTTGAGCTGAAGAGCTGAGGGACAGTGCCCAGGCCCAGAGTTCAGGCCCCACGACTGGACCAAAAAACAAACAAAATGACTTTCAGATCACATGACATTTCTCATCTAATAGGGCAACAGAACCCAGAATGCAAACTTTACTGTGTATTTTTATAACTTGGGCACCTGAAAATTGACTTTAATAACCTGGAATGGTGATCTATTCTCAGCCAGCTTTTTTTTTTTTTTTTTTTGGGTCCGGTCATGGGGCCTGAACTCTGGGCCTGGGCGCTGTCCCTCAATTCTTTAGCTCAAGGCTAGCGCTCTACAACTTGAGTCACAGCACCACTTCCGGGTTTTTTCTTTTTTGCTTATGTGGTGCTGAGGAATCGAACCCAGGGCCTCAGGCATGCAAGGCAAGCGCTCTACCACTGAGCCACCTTCCCAG